TCTAAGGTCTTTGAGAGGAAGGATGGAGAGAATCTCCTGCTCTGGGTGAGAGAGGTTGAGATGGCCATCGCATCCGCCATGCTCCAGACCGAGCAACAGCGCGAGGCGCTAGTCATCTTCAAGCTTGGTGGTCGAGCGCGAGAATGGGCACTGACAGGCGGCACTTCGGTCGAAGCTGTGTTTCCCTCCTGGGCGGAGCTGAAGTTGCAGCTCTCGCGAGTGTTCTCGCCGCCTAATCAGGCGTATTGCGTGCGATCGCTTATCCTTGCCGCCCGACAGGCCAACAAGAAATTGGTGGACTTTGACCTAGAGATGCAAACTTTCATTGCCGGGATGGCAGCAGATCCCCTCCCGGATGCAGTCACAGTGACCGTCTGCATGGAAGGCCTCCGCACTGGCGTGGCCAGAATGGAAGTCTTTCGTGTGCATCCTTCTTCATTTGAAGAAGCGATAAATGCGGCATTGAATGCCGAACTCAATTTCTAGTCGGCATGACTTGGTTGGAATGCACACCCCAACAGCTCGTCGAGCGGGTCGGTGCCCATAGATCTCAGCCATGCTGAGGACGAGGGAGCAGAGCTCCGAGCTGCCTGGCAGCATACACTTAATCGACGGTGATTTGTCTGTAGAGACACCCGTCATTTTCGGAAAGGTTGCCCCCTGCACAAGGCGCGTCAAGGTTCTTCGAAGCATCGCCCAAACGCCTATTAGTTTGGTTCGTCGCGGGGAAACGACGCCACTCAGTAGGCACGTGGAGAACTACTGGGGGAGAACTGATTTCTGCTGAGCCTCAGGGTGGAATAGGTCAAAAGGGCCCAGCTTCGAAGAGCTCCGTGCCCTTGAGCACGGAACGTGTATGCATGCCGGGCTTGCTGGTGGAGGAGGCGACCGTAAAGGGCTTCGAGAAGCCACGGAATATTCTCATCGATTTCAGGGGCGTCGAGCAATTTTGCTCGACGCTCCACGATGATCTGAAGGCAGCTGTATGCTGAGGCGCCGAAAGCGCGGTTGGATGACATCGTCTCTGTTCGCCTAGCGACAGGGACGCGTGTCACGGTTCCGAAGGTCCCTGTGGACCTCGGAGTCAAGCTCCTTGACTTTGATAGCGTGGAACGCTGTCTAGTCTTAGACTTGGATGCAAGGTATGA